TTCTCTTTCTGTAAGCCTCTTGGCTTTTGTTTGGTTTTGTTAAGGGAAGCAAATCAAAGTCAGAACAATCACCATGTCTTGTTTCTGTCAATCTTTAAGTATTATCATTTGTCTCAGAGTTAATGCTTCTAAAATGGAAAAAGTGGTGATAATCATATTTGGAAATTTATTTCTTCCCTCAAGAAACTTCTATATTAGAAAAAGGTGTACTCCACATATTTGGAAATTGTGTTTTCCCTTCAAGCAACCCAGTAGCTATAGTACCACCTACCTCTCTCTCTCTCTCTCTCTCTGATTTCTTTTTCTTTCTTTTCAGAGTTTCTTCTATTGGCTAGCCGCTAGCTAGCTAGTTTGGCCTCAGTTCCTCCTCTAGTTGCTTCAAAGATTTCATTTCTCATTATTTGGTTTTGGCAACTTTGACTTGCCAAAAATTTCCTGGAGCTTTAACTGTTACTTTACCCTCCTTAGGGAAGAGACATACAAATATTTACCTTCAAGCAAACAGGTATGGTACTTCAAAAAATATTTTCGTTTAGAGATGTTCTAGATGGAAATCAAAGTGAGAGTAGGTTTCCTTTCGGTATTGAATTATTGACTTCAAACTATTCTCAGATGAAACCCAAAAAACCAGTAAAAAAACAAAGCTTTTGTGAATTAAATACGTTTTTCTTTGTCTGTAGACTTTCAGAAATTGATTAATTACTGCGTCAGATTGCTGCACTCATGTCTAATCTTGTCGTGGTGATAGGTCTGTGAGAGAGAGACAGAGAGAGAAAGAGAGAGAGAGATATATGGTTCACATCCATGTTCTGCTGCTTGAGGTTTTCTAGGCTCTTGCATGGCATACTTATTAGTTCGTTTTTTTTGCTGCCTATCAAGAGGGGTACAGAAAAGATGTGGAGAGGTGCTTTGGTATCCTTCAAGCTCGGTGGGCTATTATCAGGGGCGCGGCGCGTCTATTTGACGAGGAGGTGCTCAGAAGTATAATGATGACTTGTATCATCCTCCACAACATGATTGTGGAAGATGAGTATGATTATGATGTTGAGGAAGTGTATGAGCCAGATCCCATGATTGCGACCTTAACACGAATTTATGAAAAACCTATGGGGCCAAATGGAGAACCAGTGCAGCATGATCCGTTAGTTAGAGACGGTACTTTCATGCATCGCATGATTGAGCGCTACACGGAGATGCAATCGTCGTATATTCATGAACACCGTCAAGTTGATTT